GTATTTGTATATCGTTACATACAAACGTCTGTAAGTGTAAATGTCTTTAGCACATGTTGAGTTTCCGCGCATTATATGGAATAATTGCGTCTATCTACATATTTACAAAATGAGAAAAATTTAAAATTTAGTTTAAAATTTTTATTTTATCTTACATATTATCTTATATATCTATAAAATAAAAATCTTTAAAATTTTATTTTAAATTTTCGAAATCTTTTTTGCTATATTATTATTTTTTTGCTATAAATATATAAGCAAGATTGAAAAAGTTTCAAAACTTATTACCTAAGAGGATGTCTTAAACCTTCCAAAACAGCACTGATGACAGCGCACCTAATTACTGAGCTATCAATGAATGCATTTAGCAGAAAAACAAAGCTATTTATAAGTATTTTATAAGCTCTACGTATGCGGAAAAGGCGCGCATGTTTAGTTTTTTTCTCTTAATTTTTTTTCAGAATAAATTATTTTACTAAAAAATATTGAAGTAAATAAGGAATAGGTATAGAAATTTTCGAATAGAAATTGATATGCAAATTAATAAAGACCTGTATTTTACGGATCCGGAAAGCTAGAATATATAAGGAAAAAGTATAGAAAAGTTCGGTTTGGATTAGATATACAAAGACCCGTATTTTTACGGAGCCCATCTCAGCTTTTTTCATGTCATTATTTAATTTAATTTTGTTTCATTTTAGACATCTTACAATACTTTTTTAGCATTTTGCAGAACGAATAGAGGGCTCACATTCCCCACATGGTGTGGGCTTAAATTTAGGACAAAAACATCCCCCACCTTTATATATATATATATATATATATATATATATATATATATATATATATATATATATATATATATATATATATATATATATATATATATATATATATATATATATATATATATATATATATATATATATATATATATATATATATATATATATATATATATATATATATATATATATATATATATAATATATATATATATATATATACATATGTAAAGGAGGAGAGTAAGTAATAAATTCAAAAAACGCTGCGTCTATAATGAGGTTTTATGTAGTTGGTTATTCTAACAATTAAACCAAATATTGGTTAATCTACCAATCCTTTATTGATAATGCAAATTTAGTTGAATATTTTTTGTAAACACATTTCTTTATATATTTTGTTTTGTTATTATGTATAAATAAATTGATTTCCATTTAATACATTATACAAAACAGATTATTTTTTATTCCTTTAAAATATGCGAAAGTGGTTAAATTGCTTCGCATGGGTTCAAATCCTTTCGTTTACTCATAATTTTTTTAAAAATCTTTCCTAATTTTCTAGAATACAAAATAAAACATTTCTAAAGGCATATATACATATGCATAACATATATCAAGATATTATATACTACAATAAACGAAAGGCAGAGAATCTTTTATAAAGCTTTTTAAAATTTCTAAAAACTTGATTACACCGTTAAAAGTTTGTTCAGCATTTGCCACGGTACTTAAGTTGTTAATGTGTTTATTTTATTAGTTAAGTCTGTGCATTAAAGGGACAATTTTATTTCTTATAGAAAAATATTTTACATGCCCTGTAAATTTTAAAGAAAAAATGATTTTTCTTTAAAATTAAAACGGCAAGAATCCTAATAAACTGCAGATTCGAAAAAAAAAAAAATTAAAGACTTATTACCCCGTTTTTTTTTTTTGTTTTTTTTTTTTTAATAGAAATTTGTTGAATTTATGAAGTATTGAACATTTATGGTTATATCAAAACAAAGATTTTTATATTTATCTCTTTAAAAGTTATTGAAATAAAGAAAAGTTATTTCGGTCGGTGTGGAATAGACTTACCATGACCAGTATTAAACTGCTCATGGTATGTCCGTTGTTCCTCATCTCATATTTTTTAAAATTATTTACGATAGAATTTTTTTTTATGGCTTAAAAATTAAAACAATGAGTATAGTTTTTTTTATAGTTATTTTCCTACCTCTTACTCAAATATATTGAGGTATAGATTTAGTATAGAAAAGGTCGGTTCGGAATACATTTGTTAGATCCATATTTTATGGGTCACGACAACAAAATTTAAAAATAAAGCAAGCTGATGATTTGAACTTGCCACGCGGCGACCTTAAGTTTTTTAAAACAGTACGGGGATTAAAAATATATGTTTTTTATAAAAACATAATTAAAAAAGTTCTAATTTTATATTTAAATGAAACCATTATATTAAACTTAATACTTCTAAAAATAATTAAAAGTTAATGCTTAACTTTTATATTTAATATTGATATAATAAGGAAATTTAGAGTTATACTGCTATTAATTCACGTCCCCGTTAAACATACAAAACCAAATGCGCAATGACAACACAATTTAGATAACCATTAAAATAATATTATAATCAATTATTTTTTGGCTTTATATACTTTTTGGCGTATCCTTCATCTAAACTTTAAAATAAGGGATCGTCCATAAATTACTCAACGTTAAATTTCACAATTGAAAAAAATAAAAATGATCTAAATTTTTAGAGCTTATTAAGTTTAATGAAAATCGTCATCCTAAAGAACTGAAGATCTCTTCTACTTTTTGAAAAATAAATTTAGCGTTGCGTAATTTGTGGGCGATTCCATAGCGTTTTATAGTTTATATAATTTTCTGCTCCAATAGTAGTTTTTCAGAACAAAATTATTTTACTTAATAGTATTGAAGTAAATAAGGAATAGGTATAGAAATAATCGGTGTGGAATAGGAATCGGTGTGGAATAGGTGTATAGAAATAGTAGGTTCGGTAAAGACCCGTATTTTACGGATTCGAAAAGCTAGGAGATATAAGGAAAAGGTATTATAAAGTTCGGTTTGGAATAGACTTACAAAACCCGTATTTTTACGGGTTCGATCTCAGCTAGTATAGATTATTCTATTACTGCCTTTATTAAGATTATAACCCTCTATAAGATACAGTTTTTTTTTTGAGGTTGTTGTCCTATAAAGATCTGTAAATATGAAGTTAGAAATAGTAATTATAGTCTCTGCAACAACATTTCGTCAAGGGTTTAAACAAAACCAATGTGCTTAAAAAAAAGGTTAGGAAGGTCACAGAAAATTATTGAGTAATTACATTGCAAAAGAGTGTTTTTTTTTTTAGTTTATTAAGGTGCCCCAAGAAGTCCTTACGGTCTTATCACAGATCACCGCGGATGAGCATTTAAAAGGAAGTTCACGCCTCCTTCCCAACCGATGTCGCAAAACTTGCCCAGAGGTGGGGTTTGAACCACGGATCTTACGTATCTGAGACAAGTGTGCTACCACTGCGCCACAGCTGCTCAATTAAATATGTATAAAATTGATATGGAGATACAAGCACAGGCTTTTAATAGAAAGAATATAAGCTATTTCACCGCACTATTAACAACTAGGGAACAGTATAATTTTTAATCTAAAAAGATATTTAGCGTTGACGAGTTAGGGTTAAGTGCATTGCCGAAAAATTAAACAAAGAACATTAGCTACCAAAGAGCAGAATCAAAAATGGGTACTTAGTAGTGCTGAGTGTGGTTCAAGAATTAAAGGACAAAGCAATACATAAAAATTAATGATGAAAACGAAAAATAAAAGATTATAGTTATAAAAAAAAAATTGATAAACAACTTTAAAAAACTGTTACATGAAAAAAAATGCTTCAGTGGGGAAAGTAAAAAAAGTATAAATAAGATATTTAAGCATTATTCATTTAAGCAGTCGAGTGCAGTGGTTAGCGCGCTTGCCTCAGAACCTGAAGACCAGTGGTTTAACGCTTTCGCGGTGCTCTGTGATAAGACTGTAAGGACTTCTTGGGGCTAAAACAAAAAATAAAAAAAAAATTAAAAAATATTTAAGGTTTTTAAGATAACAATTTTTTAGATGTCAAAATTAAATATGCCATCATAGCCACTTTTCCTCACGTTTGCGCCGTACTAATTATTTAATTGTTTAAATAATAATAATTAAAAGATAATCATCATCTAATGGCATCAGAATTTTGCAGCAAATAAGCAGATAAGCAGGTAAAAAAAAAAGGTTTTGTTTTTAATGCAAATATGAGAGTAACATATGTCACGTGTTTATCTTCAACTAAAAAATGAATACCTATAATTTGGTAACTAAAAGTATACTTTTTGGTCGATTGATTAATAATAGCTCTATTTGCCTCGTCAACAATTAGCGTATCTAATTTAACCCCATAGTTCACCATTATCATTTTAAACTATCAAATGAAAAGAGCAAACTTAATTTTAAAAATGTACCAGGATCTTCAAAAATGATTCTCTACAGCGCGAGTAAAACATATTTGCAGCAAGTTTATTCAATAATTTGATAACAACAAGTTTTATAAAGAATAAAAAAGTTAAACATTTTCATAACTACTTTATCATATTATATATTTTATGCTCTTTTTTACTCTTTTTTTACTTTTTTACTCTTTTTTACTCTTTTTTTTTTTTAAAAAAACTTGTAAGTTTACAATAAAAAAACTGACTTGGATTGTAAACATAATCTGGATTTCAATCAATTTGGATAAAAACATTACCTGAATCTCAAAAAAAAAAAAAAAAAAAAATACTTTTTTTGAATAATTTACCTTTATTTTGTACTTCTTTCTGATTTTTTCCCGTGTCATTGCCCTTATATACACTCCAAAACACGTTGTGCTTAACCAGCCGTAAATAAAGCAATTATCTCCAACATGCTCTGCATTTTTACCGGCTACTATAGCTGGCGCACAAAATGCAACACAAGTTAATCCTACATCATTGCATCCGCAAAGCCCGTTAGGAAAGTCGGACATTCTTGAATAATTGATTGTCATTATTTTCAATAATAAAAACGTATTCGAAACTCTTATTACTTTTGAAAAAAAGTTAAAAAAATTTTTAAAAATAATAATATTTGGGCTTTCTTCAAATAAAGTTGTTGTGATTTGATTTCAAATGTTAGTTGTTTTATTTCCAAACATGAAAGTGAAATAATATTTGCTTTAAAATTTTGAATAAATTTTTTGAATATATTAATAGAAAACATACAAATATTAGGCTTGTCTATTGTACGGTGATGAAAAGACAAACAATTTCGAGACTTTCACAGTAAGAAAAAGAACATATTTTTTTGGTAAAGAGTTTTGTCAATAGTATTGCATACAACTATTATACATACATTAATCAAGAATATTATGCATATATTCATCGCTACTATTATATATACATTCATCAAAAATTTTTAATTTGAATGATTAAATTTTATTTATTTTTTTCAAAGCTGCTCAACATACCCCAACTAGACTAGGTGTCATATTAGTTAGGTTTTAAAGAGTTACTTTGGAGTAAGTTGGGTAATTAAAATATTTTAAAAACTACGCATCATATGACAAAACATCTAATAGTTAGACCAGAGAACCAAATGTACAACAAAGTATTATCGGAAAGCAGTTGAGTAAGATACAGGGGTACTTTTTAAATTTTGGACCAAGAACGTAAAATAAAAATGTTTCGCTATTTTCTCTTGGATGTTTGTAATTTTTTTTATCTAACATCACTTAAATGCTGATATTTTATCAACTTATCGGAATTTCGATTAAAATCACCCATTTTTTCTTAAGTCTTACTGAATGATTGAATTTTATTTATTTTTTTCAAAGCTGCTCAACAAACCCCAACTAGACTAGGTGTCACATTAGTTAGGTTTTAAATAGGTATTAAATAATTTGCATTTGCTTTTCTCTAGTAGATTTTTTTCCTTTTTCACCTTTCTTTTTATATCAGCTTTTTATATCAGCTTTATATCAGCTTTTTATATCAGTTTTTTATATCAGCTTTATATCAACTATTTTCAACTTTGTGTATTATTCGCTTTTTTTTTCTTAGTGTTTCTTGACATGCAATATAATTTCTTTACTAAACTTTTTCTAGCTAAATCAGGATTAAACTCCATTTACTACTGTCTTACATCATTAGTTAAAGCCAATTGTTTGTGTAATGATCTAAAATGAAAGCAATGACTGTTAAACAGTTATATTTAGCCTCATTTTTGTTTGCATAATACTGAATATTGTTTTTATAATGTTTTTTATCTCTTTGAAAACTGTTTCATTGTTCATTTGAAAATATATACTTTAATTTTTAAAATATTCAAAAATTTCATTTAAGCGTACATAAATTTTTTCTTTTCTTTATCTAAAAAGTATAACCCACCATATTGTTAATTTTTCAGCTTTTTTGTGGTGTGGCGGAATAGTGTCGCAAAATTTTGATTGTGGCAAATTTTAATCTCGCAAGTGTTAAAAAAGGAATAGTGTCGCAAAGAGCCGCATTATTGATTATCGAATTACAGAATAAGAAATAATGTCGAAAATTAGTTATGTATTGTGCCGTAAAATAGAAAAAGAAATAATGTCGCAAAGGACTTTATTTCAAAGTGTCGAAAACAAAATAAAAGAAAAATATTGCAAATGAATTTAATGAATAGTGTCGAAAATAGAAAAAAAAAGGAATAATTAATGAAAGGTTTTGAAATTAAAAAAAAAGGAATAATGTTCTAAAAGAGTTTAATAAATAGTAACAAAAATAAAAAAATAATAACTATAAATAAGTTTAAATAATATGTCTGATGTCATCTGAAATAGCCTGCTACCGGGGGCTTCAGTACATCCACCAGCTATCTATGAATACTACAAAACGAGTAAGAAATTGCTTTAAATAATTATTTGCAACACTAATCCATTTTTACTATTTGCAAACTGTTCCTTTTTTTTTGCTTTCGGCATTAGGCCTCTTTAATATATTTGTCACTATTCAAATGTTCGACACTATTCAGTGTTCGACACTATTCCTATCACCCTCTTTTCTATTTAACTAAAAAATTCTCAATGGCCATTACGTCTGGATAACGCACAAAAATCTTAAATAGGAACGAGGTTATATTTGCTCGATGTCTTTTTGATACGTCGGATTTCCGCATGATAGAAATTTCATGCAAACATACTCTATAGCCGCCCTAGCTGAAACATAAAAGCACGCTAAATTGAATAACGAGACAAAAAGAAAAACAAATAACAGTTTAATGTGATATAGACTATTTTGTTAAATGTACTTTATACTGATAAATGATATTCATGAAAACATTATCTTTATTCTAATAATAAATATTAAACTAAAAAACATTGTTCATAATTTAATATCAAATCTTTTTAATATTTTTTTCATAAACGTTTTTTCTTCTATGAGTAATGATGAGAAGATCTCTCAACATAATTTATCATAATTTATCATAATTTATTTACTCTGTTAAAGTGGCTATTGTGAGACAGATTAAACCATCCGATTATCAAAACTATAAAGAAAGATTCAAAATGGTATCTCTGAGTTTTAAATTTCATAAAGTTACACCGGATGGTATTTCAAAATTTATTATTGATTTTATGAAATTTAAGCTGGAAACGTGTGGGAACAAATATATATTAAATTCCCATGTTAGGTTTTTTTTGAGTCTCTCTTAATTTATAAATAAAAGTGTTTAAGATGGGGTATTGCCTTCTTTTTTTAAAATGACTGATGTCTAGTTTTAAAAAAGATCAACGAAAAGTAATCTTCCAGCTATTTTAAAGGTTTTTGAGCCTAGACTGAACATTCAGTTATATGGCTTTCTTAGAAGTTATGACACTCAACATGCGCTTTTTATTTTACTGAAAATATATTAATGATAATGATTTTTACATGTACTTTTTTATACGCGCTTTTCAACAAAGAAAAAAGAAGAACTTATAATTGTTGATTGAATATTTGACGTGCAATTGCTGATCATGTTCAAAGAGTATATTATATATTATTATAAATTTTTATCAATAAATAAAAACAATTGTATACTATATTATATTGTATTGTATATTATTATATTGTATATTATTTTATTTCTCAGAGATTTAATATTTTTGTTAAAGTTAAATTAAATAAAAAATTTATAGCAATAATTTAAGATTTTTTATCAGAGCGAGAATTGTAATTTTTTAATAACAATATGTTTTTGCGGCGGCACTTTGATATAATTTCAGTCCTTTTATTTAGCAGTTTCTCAGGTTTTGAATGACATATTGTAGCAGTAGATATAATTGAAAATTTCTCATAACTGATCATAATAGGTCCCATACTTGAATCGATAATAAAAGAAAGAATTAAAAATACTAGATTACCAAAATGCTCATTTAATCAAATTATAACAAGACAAATGTATAAAAGAATAATCATAGTGTCGGTTTTGCTGCAAACCCTACCATTACGGAGTTTTTTTAATGATGAAGATGAAAACTATACAGACTCTGTTTAAAAAAAAAAAATCATGTGGGAAAAAGCAAGTAAATGTATTTAGATTATTCTAGAGTTAATAGTTAGATTCGTAGCGAGCTTCGTACCTTTTGTAGCAAGCTTCGTACCTTTTGTAGCGAGCTTCGTACCTTTTGTAGCGAGCTTCGTACCTTTTGTAGCGAGCTTCATACCTTTTGAATAAGAATTTCTTTTTGTGACGGCACTTTGATATAACTTCGATTCTCACCATTTGGATACAATATAATAGCAAATTTCTTATTAAGACATAGTAAGCACCTTTTAAAAATATTTCAGTTAGATACATGGGAGGAGGGGGGGGGGGGTACAGTATTTTGATGTATGTGATGATTGTATAACGCATTTTGATGACAGCTATCCTTTTTGTTGAGGCAGTGTTATAAAATACATTGAAACCGTTATTTAGTTCTTTTTCATATATAAATCTCCGCGAGATTTTAAGACTAAATTTACTTTAGTGTAAACTACAGAATATTGTGCCTGAAATTATAAGTGATTGTAATCATGGAATGTATATGCATACGTGTTTGTATGTAAATAAAAAAAATATTTTAATATTGATAATTATAGCATTGAAGAAAAAAGAGGAAAATAGTTCTTAAAACTGTTAAGGGTGTTAAACTTTCTTGATTTTGTCTTCTTAAAAAACTTCGTCTATTTTCATTTCTTTTGTTAGTAAATCCTAGTTTTTACACTCACTGATAAATACGCTAAGGGGCCATCCATAAAGGGCGTCACCATTTTTTAGCCAGTTTTTGACTCCCTCCCCCCCACCCCCATTTGTCACCGGTTGTCCTTTTTCCCTATACCCTCCTTGAAAAGGATGTCATAAAATCCTAAACCCCCCCCCCCTATTTTTAACTCCAAAAAAATTTATTTCATCTCGCAATGATGTTTGAATCTGCTGCTACACCTTTGAAAAATAAAAATAAAAATATTCTCATACATTATCTTCTTAAAAACACATGTTTACGTAGTTTTCCATGTTAATTAAACTAAAATAAAAAATCTATAAAGTGACGTCTTTTTCTGACAACCTCCCCCCCCCCCTCCTCTTGTCCCTTTTTGTCCTTTTTAACTCGACCCCCTCCCCCCCTATTTGGATGACGTCCTTTATGGATGGCCCCTAAACTGAAATGGCTCTTCACAATTTTTGTTAAAGAATTGGATCGGATAGAAAAACAACTAAAATGTAAGAATATCATGAAACCTGAATTTATAGCACTTAATAATAAAAAAAGGATCACGATCTTATTATTAAAAAAAAGGAAAACAGCTGTGGTATCTACATTATGGAAAGAGAAAACGAAGAAAATATTCTAAAAATGCCGAAAGATAAGGACACCAACAAGGTGTTAGACAACAATCCTACACAAAAAATCGTGTTTAAAATCACCGACAAAATTCATGAAAAGCAGTCTGAAAACAGTCTACTAAATATTATATTGTGTGTTTTATAAAAATATTATGAATTTATTTATAATAGATAAGTGTGTTTGTATTTTATTAGTTAACCTAGAGAGATACGAAGTTGTTTAATATAGTTGTTTGTAGTTTTTAGTTAGGTTTAGAGAAAGAATTGTAACTGTTTAATGAAATTATGTTTTATCG